CTTAGTGGACAGAACACTCAAATTAATCAATTGCTAAAACTTAAAATCCCGAAAATGCCCCTGAAACTACTGAAATTACCATTTTACCCCATCAGCTATATCCAATCCTCCTAAATCAATTAACCAAACTATAGCAGCTATAACTAATTCCTAATCAAATTTCATCAACAAATTTAAGCTAGAAACTCAGATTATGTCAAATATCATTAAAACAAATACTAATGATTCAGGGAACCACNACAATATTTTTAACAACAAACATACTTTCAGATTCAATAACAGTAACAAATTGAACATAACAAACAAGTAGATTCAAATCACTAAACTCAAAAATCAATTGAACTTCAAATTAAATCTAACAACATTACAACCAACACACTTCTATATTAAACTAAACAAGAACAAATGAATAAAAACAAACTGAAGAAATAATCAAGAAATGATAAACAACGAACAAGAAAAGAATCAAACATATATTGATTTCAAATCCGAGAATATCAAACAAAATACGGACAGAAATGAAACTTAAACCAACTAACCGGAAATGAACAACGACGAACTCGAACGGAAACAAATCTGCCCGGAAACTTTGAAACCAAAATAACTCGAATCTGCCCGGGAATTTTTTGTATGTTTTCCGGTTGATTTCAGGCGATGAAGTTGGACGACGAAAACGAAGAAGGAGCAGCAGCGTTTGGTGTTATGGTTGTTTGGACGTGAGGCTCTGTGTGCGTGTGTGTTGTGGTGAAGCAGCAGCAGTGGCTGCTGGACATGGAGCTAATGGTGGTCGTTCATGGTTAAGCTGGGGACGAAGAAGAAGAAGGAGCAGCAGCCATGGGGAGTTGGTCGTCGATGGCTGTTCGTGGTTGGTCGACGAGGTTGCTACTGGTTTGGGGCGATGGAGGCGACGGACTGTTTGGTTGCTTGGTGGAGCAGTTGGTCGTGAGGAGGAGGCTGTGTGTATGTGTTGAGCAGCAGCAGCCATGGCGGGCTGTTTCAGGTGGAACGAGGAAGAAGATGACCGGAGCTGCTGCGTCAATGGCGACGTGATGGGGTGCATGGATAGTGGTGAACGGAGGGGGGGCTGTGGGGCTTCGTGGGGGGTGAACGAAGAAGATGAAGAGAGGGGGAGAGGGTACATGGGTCCGGCGGCTAGGAGAAAGAGAAGGGGTCTTTAGGGTTTTTTGAGTAACAAATGAAACAAAAATGAGAGAAAGAGTGAGGGGGGGCGTGTGGTCAGATAGGGGGCGGTTGGGCTTGGGTCAAGGGTTTTGGGTTGGGTAGAGGTGTTTTGGGCCTAGGTTTAAAATTGAAGAAGAGGCCCAATTCCGATTTTCTTTATTTCCATTGCTTTTTTTCTTCTTTTATTTTTTCTTAAACTAAAACTAAATTCTAAAAATCCTAAATTATCCTATAGAACTAAATTAATTTATAAAAGTACAAATTAACTCTCAATAACAATTAACACACAATTAAATAGCAATTACGATAAAATCATACAATTTGGACATTAAATGCTAAAAATGCAACGTACATTATTTTTATGATTTTTTGTTCTTGTAAGAACAAACTTAATTGCTCCTAATTGTAGAATTAAATTCTAAATGCAAATACGACATATTTTTGTATTTTTTATTAATTTAATAAATAAACATGCATGGACAAATACAAATCATTTATCAAAAATGCCACGAAAATTCTCAAAATTGCACACAAAGGAAAATTATTATTTTTTTTGAATTTTTTTTTGGGAGTATTTCTCACATAGGGCAAAAATCACGTGCTTACACCTGGTATGTAGAACAGAAAAATGGGGTAAGCAATCAGCAACAACAAACAGCAAAATACAGCAGCAAAAAGCCCAACACAGTAGCTTCAACACCTCAATCCAGAAATCCCAGCAACACGGAGAAAACCAGTAAAATGGAGAAGAAAAATAGTCCAAAAATCTCTCTTTGTTTTCTCTTTCTAGATTTGAACTCTCTCTAGTGTTCTTCCTCTCTCAATATTTCAGAAAATTTGGTTCTATCTTTTTTACTCTCTCCAAAATGAATTTTGCACCTGTATATCCAGTGTATCCAAAGTGTATATCGGGTGTATATCGCTCTCTCCACCCTCTCTTTTGTTCTTCTCCTCTCTTCTTTTTTTTCCCTCCTATTTATAGCAAAATTTTCGAGATTTTTCAGATTTTTTTAAAAAATATTTTATTATTTTATTATTTTTTAATTAAAAGAAATCCCACTTACAAATTGCTTTTATTTTTTTATAAAAAGAAATCCCAACTTTGTTTACTTTTATTTTTTTAAATTCCAACTTTAATTACTTTTATCTTATTTAAAATTTCACTTTTTTTACTTTTTAAAAGAGAATTCCACTTTATTTAACTTTTCTTAAAAAACAATCCACTTTCTTTTGCTTTTCTTTTAAAAATGCTACTTTCTTTTACTTTAATTTTTTTTTAATTTTCAGATACCTTTATATTTATTTTTTAATTCCACAAAACTTTACTTTTATTTTTTTAATTTTCTACTTTCTTTTACTTTTTAAAAGAGAATTCCACCTACTTTTACTTTTATTTTTTTTATTCAATACTTCCCTTTTTCTTATTTTTTAAATCACTCCCGACAATTAAAAAAATTAAAAAAAAAATCGCATTTTTTTTATTTTAAAAATAAAAATAAAATAATATTAATAGTAATAATTCACCTTTTAAATTTTGTATTTTTACCCTATAATAAAAAGTGTAACAAAGCTAAAAATTGTAGGTTAAAACCCCTAAAATATTTACATAGAAGAAGTGATAAAAAAAATTAAATATTATCAAAAATTAGGTGCTCACAGCGGAGGTCTTGAGTTTGGACTCTCAACAAGAGCATTTGATTTTTGGTATTTTGCCTTGGTTTGTATCCGTTATGCAACCATAATGCTTTATGAAAATTTCTCTTCTTTATTCATAACTATACTATATTGTTTAGTTATGAATGCACTGACTCATCCCATTCCTATTTGCCCTGGTGATGGATGCACTAACTCATCATAGTCAAGGGGAGGTGCCATGGTGCATGCTTTTCGCTGATGACATTATTCTAATTGACGAGACACGAGGCGGCGTCAACGAGAGGCTAGAGATTTGGAGACATGCTCTTGAGTCTAAAGGTTTCAAGTCGAGCAGGACGAAGACGGAATACCTCGAGTGCAAATTTGGAGTTGAGCCGACGGAAGCGGGAGTTGAAGTGAGGCTTGACTCTCAAGTCATTCTCAAGAGGGGTAGTTTCAAGTACCTTGGATCGGTTATTCAGGGGATCGGGGAGATTGACGAGGATGTCACACACCGTATAGGGGTGGGGTGGATGAAGTGGAGGTTAGCGTCGGGAGTCTTGTGTGACAAGAAAGTGCCACCGTTACTAAAAGGTAAGTTTTATAGAGCAGTGGTTAGGCCTGCAATGTTATATGGAACTGAATGTTGGCCGGTAAAGAACTCACACATCCAGAAGATGAAAGTAGCAGAGATGAGGATGTTGAGGTGGATGTGCGGGCATACAAGGATGGATAAGATTAGGAATGAAGATATTCGAGAGAAGGTGGGTGTGGCCCCCATGGAGGACAAGATGCGGGAAGTAAGACTCAGATGGTTCGGGCACATTCAGAGGAGGAGCACTGATGCACCGGTGAGGAGGTGTGAGCGACTGGCTGTAGTGGGCACGCGGAGAGGTAGAGGACGACCTAAGAAGTATTGGGGAGAGGTGATCAGACAGGACATGGCGCGACTTAGGATTACTGAGGACATGGCCCTTGACAGGGAATTATGGAGGTCGAGCATTAAGGTTGTAGGTTAGGGGAAAGTTGTGAATATTTCTACAGCACAATAGAGTGAGACTAGCTAGTTAGGAGTTAGACTAAGAATGTCATTGGTCGTCTATTGATGCAGGGCTTTACCTGCTAGTTTTACTATACCAGCCATCTATTTCGTATTTCGTATTTTGTATTTCATATCTCTTATATTGCTGTTATTTTATTATGCATTTTTATGGTACTAATATATCGGCTCCAATTACCTTTTTGAGCTGAGGGTCTCCTGGAAACAGTCTCTCTACCCTTCGGGGTAGAGGTAAGGTCTGCGTACATATTACCCTCCCCAAACCCCACTTGTGGGATTATACTGGGTCGTTGTTGTTGTTGTTGTATACTATATTGTTTAGCGGTGCTGTCTATACTAGTAATCTTTATAAGACTAAATTTATATATTATATTATGTAATATATTTTATGAATTGAATAGTCTTTGTAGCTCGTGAAAAATGTTTATCAATTTGTATCATTTTATGTTGCACTATTTTTTTCTTAATTTGTTAAAAAAAATATAAATTTTATATTTAAAAATAAGTCAATTTTAAAAATTATATTTATACTTAATAATGTAATTATATATCCAGAAAAATTATATTACATTTCAAATCAAAAGTTCCGACATCTTTTTGGGCTTTTAACATATTTTGCTGGTCGACCTTTATATTTACGGTCGTTGTCCAAATATATAAAAAATATATATTATATTAGAAAATTATATATTTTTAACTATTATTTTGAGCACAACTATCATAAAAATCTCAATTCTTTTTTCTTCCCCTTAAACACTATGGATAGTCAAACATGTGCAATTTAAACGGCGGAGTGAGCTTGACGGGAAGGACCTGGACCAAACCCAAGTTCCTATTACTGGACTCTATGAGACACAAACCAAATTAAACCCAAATACGAATTACTTGTAAAAATAGTACGGTATAGCCAGTTTTCGGACTGGTCATTCAAAAAATAGTCGGTGTTTATCAAGTCAATGAAAAATAGCCACTATTTTGCTGTAACAGAGACCAGTCCAGCATAATATACTGGAGTTCGGTGCACCTGTGTATGAACTCCAGCATAATATGCTGGATGCTGGACCGATATATTTTGCTTGCTCCGGTATAATAGCTCCAGTATATTATACTAGAGCACCGGTGCTTCAAAATACAGTATATTATACTAGACCGGTATAGTTGCTGCAACTCCAATATAATATGCTGGAGTTCAAGCACCATTTCTAAATCTTAAGTAGCTAAAAATAGCACCATATAGCCAGTTCTAAATAGCACCGTATAGCACGGTATTTCGAACAACCAGTTCTAAATCTGTCTAATTTTGAATTTCTCCCTAGATTGTAATAATGTGGTTGATTCTATAATTTTCTTGCAGAACCTCACTTTTCACATTGCATAGGTCAGTGTCTTCCTGTACTTCCAAATCTTAAGTATATTGATATTCTGCTCCAAATATCTTGTGGGGTTTTCCCTTTTTGCTTCATTCAATTTTCTGGGTATAATTCAGTCTCGTTTCTGCTTTATGTATGTAGTTGTACTGTTAAAGCTTGTAGTTTTTATTAGGGTATTGGATCCAAGGAGCTTCGCAAACGTTTTTTTGTGCAACTTTGGGTGGATGACATTTCTTTTTTCTTTTTTTTTGAATTGAATTTCCTAGTTGCAATTCTTTGATTGCAAAAAAAATGCAAATTTGATGGCTGTTGAGGTTTCTGCTACATATTTGAACTCTGAATTGGACGTGTCTGTGAATTATGATTAGTTTAAAATATTCTTCTTTTTGTGAGTTCTTTTATTATATTGTTATTGGATCAGATACCACCTTCCCTTATGAGTAGTGAAGTATAAAGAAATTTAGTTGATTGACAGAAAGCATGGGTTAAAAAAATAAAGATGCAGAGTGAAACAGGGCGAAAAGAAGTAGCTTGTAACTAGTTGAAATGCAGAGGGAAAGTTCCACCTTTGTGGTATTTGTCGTTATGTCCATCTGCAAGGCTGAGTCATCTGTATTAAAAGCTAAAAACCGCAGTTAATTTCAGTACTTCTGTTGGGAGCTCAGAAGATAAGTGAATGATTGATTAAATTCTACCAATTTGTGAATGATGATACTTCTTATTTGGACATTTGGTTTTCTTTGTGTATTTTGGTTTATGTGATGCTTTAGTGCTATATTAGAATCATTGTTCCTTGTGATTTTTACAAGTTAGTATATGTTTTTATTTGCTTCCCATGTTATAATAGCTTTAAATGGTGATGGTTAATTTGTTTTCAAGAAGTAAGAATCAAATTTTCTGAAAATCTGAATGACTAACCACAAGATTTCACTAAGTATTATAGTAAAGTTTTCTTGTTTTCAAGTTTTGTGCTTTTGATCAACTGTGCACTTGACAGTTTGCTTCTAGCATAAAACCTCAAGAACTCATTGTTCTTTTGGTCTTGTAGCATTTAATGGCATATCTAGCCAGTGCTGTTAAAATCGATCAGTTCATCTTCTAAAGAGGGTCCAAAGCAAGTGGTTTTCCTTCGAACAAAGATGCCCAAAGTGATCCATTGATCATAACGTGGTAGATTGTTTGAATTTCAACTTTGAGAAGTTGGATTAATATCTTGTAAGTTGGTCGATAAAATTAGTTATTTTAATTACAATTTGATTGTTGTTACAGTATTAAATTCATGTATGTTTGGTTATTTTTATGTTAAGTGACTTGTGCGCTTCATTTCTCACTTTTCGCTTCAAGCCCCATGGATGATATTGCATTTTTGCAATTTTTGCTTTTAAAGACTTTCTAGCAACTCCCTCACTAGACTGGGTTGCAATTGTGACTGGTCCATTTCGGAAAAGGACAACTACAAGAATATTGTGCGTGATAACCAACTAAAAAGCAAAGTTAAACTGTCCATGCTTTGATAATACTACCTGAGATATACTAGGAATACCTCATTAGATTACAACATGATAAGATTTTATGTGACTCAGTTGATAAGTATTGTAAGATATATGATAAGACCAGTTCTGGTAGAGTTTGGTAGCATGAGAAACAATCAGCAACTTCGTGGTATCTACATTAGTGCCATAAAAAACTTTATCTTTTTTGCTGTTGTGATAAGTTACCAAAAGCAATTTGAATTTTGTGATTTGCTTATATCTTCTTTGACAAGTCTATCCGTGACTGATGCGTGAATGATAGTTATTGATGAAAATAACAGTAGCCCTGAATCCTTGGTACTCAATATATATAGGCAATCGTCTTAAAATCTAAATTCACCATTTTCTAGGAACTTAGGGAAGGATCCACAAGGTGGATATAATTTCACAGCTGCAGGAGCAAGTAAATACCATTGCAGCTCTTGCTTTCAATACCTTTGGTACCCTTCAGAGGGATGCCCCTCCTGTTCGTCTGTCACCTAATTATCCGGAACCGCCTCCTGCTAATCCTACAGAGGATGCAGCCAATGTTGCAGAACAACCAAAGTAAATGAGTGCTGCTTTTGTTAAGGCTGCCAAGCAGGTAAACCTCCCTACCTTCACATTTTCTTTCTATAACACCCTCGTTTGGTCATAGATCAAGTTGATCAACTAAGATGAGCAAGCCACATTATATGGATCATTTGCATGTACTTTGAAAATATCCAGGATTCCTAGAATATTGATATTTTTTTTTCTGGTCAAATAATGTCTTTTCGTCTTCCTTTTACTAGTCTATTTATATTTTAATACATCAAATCTTTATATTATCTTATTTGTGGACCTTTATGCATTGTCATGGGGATATTTATGTTTCATGGCTCATCCTATCTAAGTTTAAGTCTTTCTTTGTTGAGTCTTGAGACCAGTGTGGTTGAGTTCAAAGACCTAAGTATGTTGTCCTTTATTTTAACAATACATATACTAATGTAATTAACATCACAAACTACTCAAACTAAAACCCGACTTATTCACATAATGGTGGCAAATTCCAACTACTAGTTGAAACAGAATCTCATAACTCTTGGGACTTTAACTTGAGAACTTGCTCTCAGCCTCAGGAGTTAAACAATAACATCTAGGCTAAGTCTCATATGGTAATCCATGGTTCTTCAAAACCCGAAAATTTATTCTAGCTTGTGGCCCTTTAGCTATCTTTAGTGAAATACATGGACACACTTGTCATTATTTCTAAGGTGTTCAAGTTCACAGTTATATTTCCCTTGTTTTCATCTTGTCCTCGCAATCAGAGGTTGTCTGATCTAGCATCCCACCAAACTTAAGATGCACAAATGACATTGCATACGACCTATTGCAGTGTGCTCCTAAAGTGTTGCTTTGCTACAATGTTGTCGTATTCTTGAAAACATTTTTCTTCTGTTCTTTTACTGGACAGTTTGATGCATTGGTTGCTGCTCTTCCTTTATCAGATGGGTGTGAAGAAGCCCAATTGAAAAGAATTGCAGAACTCCAGGTATAAGCTTCTCTGTAGATAATTTTTTGACATATGATATTTGAGCAAGATGATGCTCCGTCTTCCTCTCATTACAATGCCATATTCTTACTGAGAAACAGAAGCTCTATATAGTTAATTAAAAAGGATAAATGAATATTAATCTGTGATTGCGTTTTTGGGCTAGGTAATTTTGTCTGCATTTTACCCAGTAACTCTTACTCTTTGTATGTTATGTAGGCTGAGAGCGATGTAGTTGGCCAAGAACTTCAAAAGCAACTGGAAGCTGCAGGTAAGGATTTTTTCCTACTGTATCTGACATAATTTTGGTTTTGGGATAGGCATTTTTTACACAATACATGGCTATGCACATACTGCAGAATTTGTGGTCGAGGAAAGTTAGCATTTATGTATTTGTTTTCCTAAGTTGTTCTAGTTACGCTAAGGTCCAAACGTCTATGTACCTTTCAATCTTTTTATTATTTTTTGGCTAAGGTCCAAACTCAGTTTGATTTTGTTGACTTAGAAAAGGAGCTAAAGCAGGTTCAGGAGTTGTTTAATCAAGCAACGGATAACTGCCTGAACCTTAAGAAGCCAGAATGAATTAAGCTACTAGTACATATTTCATTTTCGATGGAACTAATCAGACAGTATTTGCTTAAGGAGGCCCTCTTCCTGGAATATGCCTTGGAGGAACAACAAATCGCCTGCACCAGGCTTCTTATGGGTGCATTTACTAACTGGTCAAATATAAACTGGCTGTGTTCTGGCATTACCATTTGAAGTTCTTGGCCGCTGCAGAAAAGAATTCAGCATTCCATGTGTACCTGCTGCAAATCTTTGTTTATTCGTAATGGAAAGGCTAGGAATGATGTGTTTTAAAAGCAAATTCAGCCTTCATTTGTCTCCTCACATGCATTTCCTATTCCTTCTATCTAACCATAACACTGGCGTCTTCTACGAGACAAGCACGATTTGGAAAGTTGGTTAATATGGTTCTCTGCTCCAATAGTTTTATGTAGTCAATAGAATTGCAATTACTGGATGTGTATTTTCTTAAACATATAAGCCAAAACAAGGGAAGGAGTACAAATAGAACCCATTTTCCCAAACGACTTCATCGTTCTACTGTTTTGATTTGTTTACATATTTTGTAGAGGTTATCTAAATACACTCTACTAATACGTTGCCTGGATACTTCCAACTGTAAAATGCCATCGTCCTCGGATATTGCCAAATCGAGTGACCAAGCAATAGCTCATAGCTCAGCTTGCTCGTTTATTATAACTAGTCTTAGAGTACGCGCTTTGCGCGTGTACCCTATCTCAATGAGTAAAAACTTATTTAAAATTTATCTTTGAATTATCAAATAAAAGTATAAGTTCCTGAAAATGATGAATGGTGATTGTGTATAATTAACTCTATAATGAAACCATTGTCCAACATAAATACTTAATTATCAGTCAATAATTCAGCTTAAAAATTATTTCAATGACTGAAATTGGAATTCTGTATTGGGTTTTGCAGTATCAGTATTCAAGTGATATGAGTAATTCAATAGTATTAGCTAATGCCAAATTTTAAATATTTAACTGTAGTTATTATTCTTATTCAATGCGATTTTTTTTTTCAAATAATAAAAAATCAATTAGGTAAAAAAGTCATCCATGAATGACATGTTCCCAGAAAGAAAAAACAAATAAAAGTACTTTGTATATCTCAATCATTATATACAATAAATAAATTCTAAATCAAATGCAAAGCCATAATTGTAGTCAAGAAACCTACTTATATTCATCTAAATTTAATGTTAAAAATGTTAAGATATCTCATAAATTATCTTTCTGGAATAACTGATAATTGTTTCATATAAATCTGAACGTACAAAGTTTATAAAAAGACTTTAACACCTATGTTATTATTCAAAACCTCATATTTCCTCTTTCTTTGATCTTTTTCATTATTCCCTTTATTTATTTTGTTTATCATTTATATATAGTTAAATGCAAGATTTTGATAAGGTAAAATTTTAATAATTTTAAAGTTCCAAATATAAGGACTTTCAATATAGTTCAAATAAAAAAAGATTTAATATGTAAAATTTAGTTGATTTTAATTAAAAGAATAATTAAATTACTATTTTTCTAAGTGCAAACTATATTTTTAAAAGGTAAAAAGGCTAAGAACATTTCGCTACGAGATTTTGTGCTTTTAATATAGTATACATTATTTGATAATAACTATTTAAAAATAATATTCAAAGTTGTATTTGTATTTTAAATTAAAAATTAACAGACAATTATATGCTCCTAAAAATGATAAATACTAATCATAGATAGGGATTTGTACCTATTTTAGAAGATACAAAGAGGATCAACTAACTGGCAAAAGACGTCTTCTTTTATTTTTCTCGCAAAGAAAATTCAAATTGTTCAATTTCTTTTATCAATAAAAAATAATATATTCAACAGATTAGAAAAGAAGAAATCACTATGTCTTCATCTTGGAGAAATCTTTCTTTTCTCTGCCCAATTATATATTAATGTATTTATTTGGATGCATCCAAATGTTGTCCTTTTACGGAGTAAGAATCAATAATTAAAATTGAATTACTTGCAGTTGACG